CCACTCAAGACTCAAGACTCAAGACTCAAGAGTATACCCACAACTAACTGACTTGTGACTGTGACTGCACCAACCAAGTCAAGCACAATATGAAGCACCAAAAGTTGTGCAGTAATGATACGCGCTCAGCCGGCCAATTCGGTAAAATGCCCGCGGGGCGACTGGATGGTCATGCATGCATATATGCCGTCGTGATGGATCTCGAGTCACTTGATGGTGTCTTGACTCACGACTCATGACTGCTGAGTGCATCCATCCATCAGTCGAAGCTGTCAGAGAAGCGGAGAGCGCGCGTGCATCATATCATGCATTCTGACTGCTTAGCACGCGGTAAGCTGCACCATGACATGCAGGGCTTTTTGGGCTTTCCCGTCCAGCGAGCATCTCATCCTCATCTTGCAATCAACCTCGACTTCTTCGCTCCTTTTGCCCAGAATGGCATGTGAACGCCGCCGATGCTTGGTCATATTCACGCATTTCGAATGCTAGACAGACTCACTCCATACTCATAGCAGCCGCGGTACAATCATGGAACCCGTGTGGCTTTTGGCAAAGGGGCTCGGTGAATTTCAGTAAAAGCGCGATGAAGATGTCCTTTGCATGCGGAGAGTCTCCAGGCGCAGGAAAGCAGGAGAGCGAGCGCATTGGATGCTGGATGTTGCGAATAGGTGCCTCTCTCGGTCTGACGCCTCGCCTCCCCGCGTACAAAGGATGAGCTGATGATGATTTGCTATTTCTTCTGCTTGATCGCGATCGATCGAGAAGGTTCGCCTCAGCTGCTTCTTCCCTCATCCAGTGGTTTCTCCGGACCGAGACAGCATCAGGCGCGCGTACCACTCCATCGTAACTCACACTCACAAACGTTGGAGTCCATGTGCCCAGCTTTGAGTCGTCCATATACACACGACTGCTTGTCCTTTGTGCAAGACAAGGCGTGTGCAACAATTTGAATAAGCCATGGCAATTGAGAACTACTCGTGACTAGCCGTGCCGGGCTTGCAGTCGACTGCGCCCTGCATACTGTACCATTCGCAAATGCACGAATCCCATTGGCAAATTTCCCAGAGTGCCAAGGGTGGCATGGCAGGTTTTGAAGCGATTATGCCGGGTCCTGGTGCGCGGGGCTGTCACACTTGCAGCAAGCAATCTCTCGTAGCTGTGGGTCCCAATAATCATGCCACAGCGCGGCAAGCAAGGCAAGGCAATGCAACGTACATACGTGCGATCACGCCCGCCACAGCAGAAGGAAGAACCGGGCGGGCACACCGCGCGTACGCGTCAAGTCAGGCGCAAGTCGCCGGTGGCGCGTCCGAGTCTTGCAATCACTTTCTCGATTCTGGATTGCTCTGTGAGAGCTCCGTCCCCGCGTGGCTTGTAAGAGGAGTCCAATGATGATGAACGTGCAAGCCACAACGGGGAATGGGCAGCACGGAGCGAGCAAGAAGTGAAGTCACGAGTGTGAGAGGCGCACCGCACCGAGCATCCACGCTGTGGTGCTTGGCAACTCACGACTGCAATTTGGGAAAAGGTTGTTGGCCTGCTGCGAAAAGCAGGGCCACTTTGCCTGTGCCCAACCTCCACGGCGGTCCTCGGCTGCACATTGTGCCGGAGTTGGGTGGGGAGAAGAGAAGGAGCGTCACCAAAGGACTCACTCACACTGACGAGCGACTGGATGACTGGATGCGGTTCAAAAGGCCGCGCATAAAAAGCTGCCTCTCTTCTGCAGTCAAATGCAGCAGTCACGAGTACGCATCGCAGCACCCTTGCCCAACAGCAGATCGGTCCAACTCGATCGCTCGCTCGGTCGACGCTACCCGACAGGGCACAGGCACAATTCATCCATTTGACCCCGCCGAGTCTTCACAGTTTGGTCCAATTCACACCATCGACACCCCATCTCCACGCTCCTCCACGCTCGCCACAACCTCCTCTGCCAACGTCGGGAGACTTGGCCAGCTCCACTCCACTCCATCGGCCAACGCACTCGCCGCAATCGTGAATCCAGCTCTTGACAACGCCCAGACAGACTCGACTTCGCAGCGCGTAGAATCCCACCGAACTCCGCCCGATCGATCGACACGGTTTCGCCGGCTGGTGCACATCCACAGCAGCAGCAGCAGCAGAGCAGACCTCTCGCAGCAGCAAGCAGAGAGCGAAGCGCGCGTATCAGGGAAAGCGCAGCTTTGTGCTCAAGGAAGTGTTAGCATACAAATCCGAGGAGCAAGGGCAAGGTTCACATTCAACGAGCAAGCAGGGTGAGAATGTCGGCTCGCTCCTCCTTCGACCGCGGGTCCGCCGCGTCCTTGCATGCTGCGAATGAGCTCGCCGAGCATGTAGATTTGCCAACCCCAATCGACGGATCTTTTGGTGTCAAGGCAGTGGAAGGAATGCAAGCCATCGGAGCGCACGAGAAGCTGCCCAAGCACGCTCATGTGATCAAAGACAAGCGTACCGGCCAACACTACGTCAAGCCGCTCAAATTCAGCTTAGCAAAGGCCAAGCAAGCGCCCAAAACCGAGCGCCACGAATTTGTGAGTGGCGCGACGGCCAATCGTCCTTGGTGCTTGACCACCCTGGCGACGGATGAGCTGACGCAAAATAATCTCACGCCGTGCCTTGCAGAGCCATCCCGTTGGTCTGTCGCAGGCCTTTTCAACGTCCAAGGCACCCAGTCGTGTATCGCACGAGTCCAACCGCGTAGGCAGTGTTCCGGCGCACACCGATGCGGGCACAGCTCTTTTGTTGGACCAGCTTCGCAACATTGTCCGTCAAGAAGTGACATTCGCACACCAAGGCCACAAGGAGCAGGTTGAGCAGATCGCTGTCAACACGCAGGAACTTCAGAGCCAACTTCGCGCCATCGATCAGAGCGATCAACTCGGCGTCAACACGACGGATTCCAAATCTCGAAATGGAAGTGCCACGACGGATGGCAAGACTAGTTTTGCGGATGCTCCTCTGCCCCAAGTCGCTGCAAGAGGTGGCATGAACGCTGCGATCATCGACGAGGATGAGGAGGATGAGGACGAATTTCCAAATCTTTGGGCCAAGTGGCGTTACCACGTAAGCGATGAATGGTAGCAGACTTGCCGTATTCACCCCCTGACCCTTTCGAACCCTCTCGCCTGCCGCGTCCCAGCTTCGCGAGCCCTTTGCAGAGTTTCTGGGCACTGCAGTTCTCATGATATTTGGAAACGGCATCAACGTGCAAGTCACGGTCAGCAAGCTTTACGATGCATCCGACGCAAAGGGAGACTATCTATCCATCAGCTTCGGTTGGGGTCTCGGTGTCCTTTTCGGCGTGACGCTCGCAGGGGGTATTTCGGGAGGACACATCAACCCAGCACTTACACTCGCGCTGGCCGTTTGGAGACGCTTTCCGTGGCGCAAAGTACCCGTGTATATTTGCGCGCAAATGGCAGGTGCGCTCGTCGGCAGCCTGATGATATACGGCCTTTACGTCGTGCCCATTCGAATCGTCGATCCCATGCAAACGGAAACGACTGCCGCGCTCTTCACCACGTACCCGGCCGAGTTCTTGCGCACCCAGTCTACCCGCATCACCACCTTTTACAACGAGGTGTTTGCCACTGCTGTCCTCGCAGCTGTCGTCTTTGCTCTGGGAGACAGCAACAACACGCCACCGCCCGAAGGCATGGCTCCTTTGATATTGATGTGGCGTGAGTAGCTTTGTTGGACCGAGATCGAGCATCAGTGGCACTGTTGCTCACTTTGTCTCCCTCATCCTCCATTCAAAGTGATCATGGCTATCGGTGCTACTCTCGGCTGGCAGAGCGCTTACTGTGTCAATCCTGCTCGTGATTGGGGACCTCGCATGATGCTCAGCATGGTCGGCTACGAAGGTCTCTGGTCCTTCAACGCCGGTTACTTTGCCTGGACTCCTCTTCTCGCCACAGTAGTCGGTGCTCAAGTCGGTGCTTTCCTTTACGACGCATTGATCTATACAGGCGGTGACAGTCCTCTCAATCGACCCTGGCGATGGAATAGAGTCAAGTGGCCCAGCACCAGTCGACACCAGCTTCCCGCTTCGGTCTCATGAGCGCGACGACTTTGCCTTGCGCCTCCAACCCATCTCCAAAAATCGGTTCGTCCCTTCTTGTACCATCAGCTCCGATCAGCTCGCAAGCGACTCGAAAAGCTCGCACCGTCCATACGTCCTCAACCCTGTCTG